TTCCAAGGTGCTCGCAGCTCTGCTTCTAAGGAGGCTCAGCCTGGTACGCGAACAGAGCATACGTGAAGAGCAAGCTGGGTTCCGCTCAGGTCGGAGTTGCATCGATCACATCTTTACACTCCGCCAAATACTCGAGCGTCGTCAAACATTTGGCCAGCCAACGATCGTTGTCTTCTTAGACATACGAGCCGCGTTTGACTCAGTTGACAGAGCTGCTCTCTGGAGTTGTCTACTGAGAAGGGGAGTGCCCGAGAAGTATGTCACCTTACTTCAAGCCATCTACTCTCAAACCTCGGGCCGAGTGCGGGTGTACGGCGGACTTTCGCCCCCCTTTGGTATCACCAGTGGCGTGAGACAGGGTTGCCCAGCATCCCCCTTCTTGTTCAATTTCGCTATAGACGAAATCTTGGAGAGTGCTCTGGAGAACTGCGAACCCAGCGGCGTCGAGCTGCTTCCGGGGGACCGACTTCGGGATTTGGAGTATGCAGACGACATCGCCGTAATCTGCGCTTCCTCACAGGCCGCCCAAAATGTTCTGTGTAGGTTGGAGATGTCTGTCTCCCAGTTTGGAATGACCTTCGCACCATCGAAATGCAAGGTTTTCCTGCAGGACTGGCTAGGCGCTGCTCCTGACCTTACCCTTCTAGGTCATTCATTGGAAGTGGTGGACAAGTTCGTTTACCTCGGAAGCTGCCTCAGCGCTAATGGTTTAACGGATGAGGTCTCTTTGCGCGTCTCCAAGGCTCGGGTTGCTTTTGCCAATCTCCGCCATCTCTGGCGTCGAGGTGATCTGAGTCTAGCTCTGAAGGGCCGAGTTTACAATGCCACAGTGAGAGCGGTTCTCCTCTATGGCTGCGAGACTTGGCCTGTTCGCGCAAAGGATGTTGAGAGGCTGTCTGTTTTTGATCACCGCTGCCTTCGGAGCATTGCTGGTGTACGATGGCAACATCACACTAGGAATGAAGATATTCGACGAAGGATTTTCAGATCAGACAGACTTTGCCGGCCACTGAGCAGTATAATTTCTCTGCGCAGACTTCAGTGGCTTGGGCACGTTCTCCGCATGCCTACTCATCGCTTACCTCGCCGTGCCCTCTTCGCGCACGCAGAAGTCGGCTGGAAGCGAAAGCAAGGTGGCCAACGTATGACTTGGGCCAGGAGCATGAAGGAGCTAACGTCAAAGTTAGCCGTGGTCGGGCGCTCTCGGCTCCCTGGCTGGAGTGTGAAGGATCCGGAACACACATGGCTGGAAACGCTCTTGGATATGGCAAGAAATCGTGCACAATGGCGGACTTGTTGTGACTCACTATTCCCATGAACATCGTTTTTCCCCCTCTATCTTCGTATGTTTATTGTATTTTCCATACGTTGTGGCACTATGCCAATTGTACTATTGGCCGTGTTGAATATATATATATATATATATATATATATATATATATATATATATGTATAAGATGATCGAGTTGTACAAGTGAACATAAGGACGAATGTGAGGGTTTGTGAAAGTTTCGGAAACCCATTCAGTGACAAGGTGATGCGGTTGAACAGGTGCTTCGGCAAGCGGGGCAAACGGTTATGCCGAAGCACTGTGGGAAGCTGAGGCGACTGCCACGCTATGAATCTGAACCCAAAAAGAGAGAAGAGATTGAGCACTAAACTGTTTTGAATCGCACCCTTCGTGGTGCGTTGTGGTGGTCGAATACAGCGAAATCGAAAACAACAATGGTCTTGATTACAAAGTCCCCCCTAAGACCTTGAACGGCTTGTTTATAGAAGCCCAATTTGAGAACTTTTTTGACCAGTTTAAGGAGCTCCAACCAACCAGCCCTGATAAGCATATTTGGTTCAGAAACAAGTTAACTGATATCGCCCATGAGGTAAAAACCATGCCAATTAATGAAAAATGTGCCATCACAGCTCGACATTTTCAGGCTTTACGTGAACTACGAGCTAAGGACGTAGTCGTAATGAAACCAGATAAAGGTTCAGGAGTGGTAATCATGAATAAAACCGAATACAATGAGAAGATGTGCGTTATACTCAATGATGCGAGTAAATTCGAACGGCTCACGAAAGTGGGGGACATAACCAATGTCGAAATGCGCATAATTCGTCACCTAGAATTACTTCTCCTCCACCGCGTGATAGACTTGGATACATTTAATAGTTTGAAACCGAGTGGTAGCACTATTCCACAGTTGTATGGGTCCCCAAAGACACATAAGTGTGAAGTGCCACTCAGGCCAATCCTTTCAATGATGAACGCGCCCCAGCACAAACTCGCTCGTTGGTTAGTGAAGTTGCTAGCTCCGCTGAAACAACAGTTCAATCCGTACAGTCTTAAAGATTCGTTTCAACTCATTGATGATCTGGATGAACTCAACCTGTCAGACAAAGTTATATGTTCCTTGGATGTAGAATCCTTATTTACCAACGTGCCGCTACATCAGACGGTTGATTACGTATGCGAATTAGCTGAAAACGGTGGCTGTTCGCTACCAATTCCGACTGAATTGCTAAGAGAATCTCTACTATTGTGCACGGAGAATGTGGATTTTCACTTCCGGAATACACCATACCGTCAGATTGACGGCGTAGCAATGGGTAGCCCATTAGGTCCTGTGCTCGCTGATTTCTTCATGTTGATGGTAGAAAGAAGCATTTCTACAGAAATAGCCCAGATGCCATACTACAAAAGATATGTCGATGATATCCTGGCTTTCTGTTCGTCGGAGCAGCAGCTCACACATTTGGTAGAACGACTCAATGGTGCTCATGCTAACTTACGGGTTACATGTGAAATAGAACAAAACAATTGTCTACCATACCTGGACATACTCATAACTCGCAGGGAGGATGGATTGATTAAGAGGTCAATTTACCGAAAATCCACTTGGTCTGGTCAGTACCTGCACTTCACCAGCTTCACACCAGTGCGGTACAAACGGACACTTGTGAAGACTCTAGTTAGTCGTGCCAGACGAATTTGTTCGGCCGACTGTCTGGACGATGAGCTGGTGTTCATTACAGCAACACTAATGGCGAATGGCTACCCTCGAAGATTTATCGAGAAACACAGCCAACTGCGAGGACCAAAGGACTTGGTGCACACGGCAGCCAAGAAGAAAGTGTATATCGAGTTACCTTTCAAAGGTGACTTAGCCACGCTGAAGACAACCAAGCGTATAATTTCTGCTACACAAGGAAGTTACTATGCTGCACAAGTTGTCGTTATCAACCGAACCCGAAATTTGCCCATACCTCCAACGAAAGAAGCTCAGCCTATTGGGGCCAACTCACACTGTGTATACCAATTTGTATGTGACTGCGGAAAAAGTTACATAGGCAGAACCAATAGAACACTGACTTCCCGAATAAAGGAACATGTGCCAAGATGGGTTCAACGTGAAGTTGCTCAGATTGCCTACCCTCGTCAGATTCCATGTTCGCGCAGACCGCCGGCTTCCTCGATAGGCAAACACCTATTAGACTCGGGTCACCAATTAGAGCTGGGCTCAGCGTTTAAAGTTGTGTTACGTCACACTAATCCCCGTTTCCTTCGGTTTGCCGAGGCTGTCGCAATTAGCCGGATTAAGCCCGCCTTGTGTGTTCAGAAACAATTATTTGTTAGCCTAAAGCTGCCTTGGACGTAGGTGTGAACTTCCGTCATTCACTTTGCACCTTAAGCTTGTCTGGTTGCACCCACTGTTAGCTATATCTATGCTTACCGGTTATTGTTAATGGTACTGAGGAGACAATACGAAATGCATGCATCTACCAGCCTTCGTCTTCTTTCCGTGCTTTTCAAACAATGGATGAATTGGTACTGTGATGAAGGCTGAAATTTGGGGCGAAGTGATTCGTCGAGGTATCGATGCACCGGGGGCCAATCAGATGACTGGTTCGATCCAACGCACGAGAGAAAGTGTGATTTTTGACATCTGAGGAGCCGTTTGGTCGGTCGTATGGCGAGTGGACGGTTCACGTCGGATTCCAGTTAAGGATACGCACCGCTGTGTCAGCTAGGTAGCCGATGAAACACCAACCTAATAGACAAATAGCTAATCAGATGCTAGTCAGGAGAACTGAACATGTGGAACGCATCTAGCGTAGCACAATGGCAGGACAGTACACCTTTGGACTGGGAAAAATCAGATTGGGCGGCCGTGCAACGAGCGGAAGGGTTACGCCTGAGTCCACAGTAACACCACGCTCAGCTGTGGCAAATAAGCAATTGTGGCACCATCGATCAAATGGGCGGACGACCAATCAGACGCCACCATGCAGTCTACCAAGAATGGCAATAACAAGGCTCGACGTAATATCTTGGATTCAGCAAGCGCGTATCAATATAAATGAGGAACGAGCACGAACCAGTTGGATCGAGATAAAGTCGTCAGCAGTGAGCCGGGAAGCAGTACTGACGCTTCGCTGCCACGCAACCACCAACGATCACACGTGGTCTCAGGATACTGGGAGGGCCGCCTTGCTCCTACGCAAGCTCGAACTCGCGCCGTCAGATTAGAAGGCAAGCTTGCTACCCTTAGGCTACCGGCCGGAGGATGAACATCACGTCACACGGCAGTTAACAAGGGTCAGTTAATAAACGAACAACAGCAGAGTACTGCATGTAGTGTATAAAAACCGTGATTCTTTTAAACAATGATTTCTAATTGTCGCCAAGACTGCGCTTTATTCCCGGGTAGTCACTCGACTAGTCTGGGACACCAAGCACTATGATGAAGATGCGCTAAAGGGATGTAGAGATGGAGTTGTAGAGCAATGAAAGATAAGGCAAATGCTATTGTCTATTCTAGTAGCTTGTCCCGAGCATTTAGTCCGAATCGGCTCGGCAGAAAGAGCAGTCGAGTGAAAACGGGACATGGAGAAATCTGTTGGGCTACATCCGAACCGAGAGAGGCAACCGCAGCAAGTTGAGGAATACAAAACGCCAATCCAAAAATGAGAAAAGTCAGGATGGGAGAATAAACACTTACATTCGAGGCGTTTGAACAATTTGGTAAACGAATAATCGAATATCAAATCCGAGGAGTTTTGATACTCAGGTTCCGGCGCCCTGGACGCGGCGATGAATGCTTCGAGTTTGGACACCTGATTCAGCTGCTCCAACATCACATCCAGTCCCATCCGCTTTTCCAGTGTGTCGATGAGGGACTTCCTGAAAACCGGAGGGGGAGAGAGCGGGAGTATGGCGAAACAACATCACCAACAGGTCGCACAAACGTTTCGCCACCAAAATGAGAGCACCAACCTTACGAGGGGTGTTCCGTAGGTTTTGGGCCTCACTAGGAAACATGATAACGATAACTGCTAAAGTGTGTCTGATTGTTGCGCTATCTTAGTCCATCAATTGTACTAAGGTTGTGGTTTTTAGTTTCCTATATTTAATTTGTATGTTATTATTTCCAGAGGTATCCTACCATGTCTGAACAGACACAAATATTGAAGTATGGAGTGGTATTACGATCCTACGGCCACTATGGTAAAATAGTAAGAACATACGCATGTACCGTAAACCAACAAAAGGAACACAACGATGGAAGATGTTGTAGGCTTTCCTACCGAGGACATAGACAAGAGCTCGGTAATCAAGTTCATCGGCCTCGTCTGCTGCTGCAGGACCAAATTGATATCGGCAGTGTCGATACTCATTGGTGAAGAGACCTCCGGTGCTAAGTTGTTACGATCCAACGTCCACGATCACAATTCGGTAGGAACACACGCAGGCACGGTCACCCCACAAAGTGAACATAACTCAGTTCACGGAAGGAACACAGATTCAGATTCCAGTCGATAGACCCAAATCCAACCTGACAGAAGACAAGACTTCCGAACGAGACCCATTATGATAACAACCCAGGCATACATCAATGAAACAGGTGGGTATAAATAGGTCTACTAACGATCTTATGAGATTGGCAAATCACGGCCTTTGCTTGATAACTCCACATTGTTGTTGGCTCTAGTGTAATTCTTGGGAAAACTGGCCTTTTCCAAAGAAACGGTCATTGAATTCTTAACCCTAGTGAACATTCAGCCATAGGAAATCACTAAACGCATGACGAACGTATCCCAGAGTCACTCCATTTCATTTGCAACGGTAAAACGCTTGGCTGCTGAACATCTACGAGAAAAAGCATCACCGCAAGATCAGCAACAGTCAGGGTGAACTGTGGAGACAATCTCTGAAGCAAACGTTGCTGCTGAGGAGAGTATGATAATGCAGGATCGACAAACGACTGTGTGTGAAACAGCCTACATAAGTAGGGTAAATTTATCAACTGTCAAAAAACTATTCTTGAGCATTTGAATATGTCAAAGGTGCGTGCGCGATGAGTGTCGAGAAGGTGGAGATCAGAAATGAAGAGTATTTTGAACTCATACCAAAAACCGGGACCAATTTAAGCAGGGATAAGTGGCAGGGAATGAGACATGGATCCACCATTAGGGTCCAGAAACAAAAGAACAATCCAGGCAGTGGATGCAGCAGGATTGTTTATTGTCCGAGTTCAGCCCAGTGCAGGTAAGATCATGTGCACAATTCTCTACGGCGCAGATGATGTCCTATTGACTATATGCCACACAAAATGACCAGTACTGTTGATTAGTTCGTTTATTTGATCCGACAACTGAATGTTGACAACTGGTTTTCCGACTCTATACGACAATGCACCGATTCACACAACCAAGATATCAAAAGCTGCTATTTGTGAATGCGGCTTTCAGGAACTCCTTCATCCAGTCTATTCTCCTGACTTAGCCCAAGGTAAGTTTCAACTGTTTTCAGATTTGAGGTGTTCTTTAAAAGGATAACAATTTGCTTCAGAGGAGGGAGTGAAGGGGGCGTAGACAGCTTGTTGATGAGATAAAAGACACTTTCATCCTAATGGTATTGAGCAATTGCGTCACCGATATGAAAATCGTAGCCAAGTAAGGGGAAAATGTAGAAGAATAGAATGGTTATTATTATGATTTCTGCTCGTTTACTACAACAGCCTCGAAACTCATCGAACACCCCACGTACAAATAAAAACCAAGGATCTGAATGGACCTGCAAATTCACTGGACAAAGTTATGACGATTACATTCTGAGAGCACCCTATTGTTGCAAGCAGTCGACTATTGTGTGAGAACAGGGCAAGATAGATGAGACAGCTTCGCTGTCACTTTCGTTGATCCGTGAATCAGCCAAACTCATCGCCATCAACAGCAGTACATGAGCCATTTGAACTGATGCTTCCCTGCAATACAACCATACTACCGACTGAGACGTTGTTAGAGAATCATAACTTAGGCAGGATAACGACTAGTGCTTCGTATCAAAATCTCTGTCTAGAAAATCTGGGATTATGGCAACAGTCTACGAGGTGGGTCATCAGAGTTGATTGCGCCGTTCCAACATCGTTAAATATCGTAATACCGTGTGCTTAAACGAGATCAACTAGCCTTCAGTAGGCAGTACCACAACACCTGCATCGTGAAATTCCGCAAAAGAACACTCCATAATAACTCAAAGTTATGCATAGAGTGTGTGGGTATTCCAACTGGGAGACTATAGTGAACAGCTTATGGGTGCAAAGTGAGAGCCATGTACTACGATGTCTAGTGCCGGGCACAGGGTGGATCGTGTGGATTCAACTCTGTAAAGTGAGAGAGACCATCCGCAACCTGGTCAATGAGTACCCTTTGAAAACTTGTGCCGTTCAACAGCACCGAAAAATAAGTCGGATGCAGCTAGTTTGGTTACCGCAAGAGAAGCTGAACACTTCAAGACCTAGGGCATCCAGTGTGCGTGCAAGTGTAGCCATCAGGGAGATTGGGTAGTGCGCCTGAAGGAGTTACTGGTCTAGAGCAGAGAGTATTGGACACTGTGGTGACATGCGCACAGATCGTGAAAATTGGCAGTATGGTAGCTGTAGCCACATACGCTAGGGACTACGGAAAGTTGGGATTGAGGACTGGGAGGGTGTAAGTGGTCCGGTTGTCGATGTGAGATGGAGTTGTAGTCAGATGAAACAACCGTGTGTCACTGACTGAAACGCTGTTAGAGAGTCAAAACTTAGGCAGAAGAACGACTAGTGCTCCGTACCAAAATCCCTGTTTATCTGAGATTATAGCAAGAGTCAGGAGATGGGTCAGCCCCGTGGGAAGGACAAGAGACTGGGTCTGTCAGGCAAGTAGCCATTGACCACCAATCTGGTGGGAGTGACACACAAGTCGGTCAAAAGCATCGTCCACTACAACCCAACAGATGGAAGTCGTAAGAAACGGTCGAACCAACTAAAGTATCAGTCTGTGAAAGAAGTAGGCTCGCTATGTAGAATCAAAATCCGAGATACGAATACAACATAACAGACTGGGATAAATCTAGTGGACATAGGTTTCGCGAGCAGACACAAGCGTAACGCTTCCTTTAGCGCTAATGCAGCCGCCGAGATAAGGAATATATCAGTTATACCAAAACGACCACTAACAAGGAGCAAAGAGGTGACAACTGGTGGTGGTCCAATAACAGCGTTTCTCATGTTGAAGATGCCAAAGAATGGGATCAATATATACAGGAAACCCAGAGTTAATCAGGACTCCCGCGACTAGCAAACAACAAGATGCTACTTGCATAAACTAGATCAGCCTGTGTTTGCTGCTCAGGGGTTTTAACGACTGCATCATGAGACTCTGTCAAGGAGCAGTTCATGAGAACATTTGTGTCAAAAAGTGATTCCTGATCTGCTTTTCAGATGCCATTAAAGAACGCTCTTTCCAGCGATTTCTTGTCGCTTCCATGCTCATCTCTGGGCGCCTTGGCGACGACAATCAATGGACTGAAGTGACATATCTTTAGTTCAGTGGCAGTTGAGATGCTTAAATTTGTCACCTGGATTTGTCCGTAAATTGACTATCATCGGCAGGTGGCCGAGGGGATGATGTGGTGTCCACCTTGTAACCCTGCGGAACTGCGAGTGACCAGGCAATACCCGTATCCCGCGCGCTACCGAAGGTGGTCGTGCAGCACCGAAGGGTAGGAATGACGTACCGACATATTGTCGATGTGTTTGCGTCGACTGGCATCGAGTATGGAGAAGGATTTTTCACATTCGGAGGAAGATACAGTAAGATTGTGGTCACTTCACTGTCTGCGGCTATGTGTTAAACGATGTCCGAGTGGTTTGCATGCCTAGGTTGCAATCATAAGGTCACCGGTTCGAATCCGCGGAGGGGCAGTCGTCTTCGCGGCATACTCAGCCCACACTCGACTGGTGGTGGTCGCATGGCAGCGAAGCGCCGTTACGGCATACACCTGGCGATTTATCAGCCGGCCCGTAGCCTGAAGGTAACAAGCTTGTCTTGTAAGCTGACGGTGCGTGTTCGAGTCTGCGTACGGACGGCGACCCTCACAGTTTCCTTAGCCCACGTGCAACTGATGGTGGTTGCGCGGCAGTGAAGCATCGGGACTGCGTATCGGCGTAGTGCTGATGCCGGTGGCAATGTATTTACAAATAAAGTCCAGTAATGAGCAGACTGAACCAATTTTAACGACACTATCGAGGACAAGGAATCCACAATGACGAACGGCGCTCACCTGTCGAAGCCAGGCACGTCTGATGGATTGAACAGAATGCAGATGCAAGTGAGCAACGTGATCAGACCTCCTAGTAACGTGTCCGATTCGTCGTTACCCAAAGTGGACACTTCCGAGATCAGAGTGGAGAGGTTGAAACCACGTGGACTGGTGGCTGTACTACCACCAGCGCTGTCAGAGGCCGGCGGTGGACGCTGAGTGTTGCTGGAGGGCGGAAGCGGTGGGGAAGCGAGAATGAAGCAACGTACTGCTGCGGGGCAATACGCCAGCCAGGTGCACATGAGTTGTAGTAGTCCGATTTTGGTTTGGAAGTGAGTGGTCTGATGAAGGGAAAACATAAGAAATTACAAAGTTTAGCCGACGCGGAGTAAAGCATTGTGTGCAAAAGGCATTATGAAGAGTATGCAAGAGAGCATTGCGTAGTGTTGTGTTTCCGCTGACAGCACGAATAACGGATGTGCTACTTAGAACCTCGAATCATCTACATCCTAATTCAGAAAAAGGTGGCCTCGATAAAGTACTCAATGAGGTTGCAGAAGATACAACTGTGTCTGCTCACATAGTTCAACAGAGACCTAGAGCAAGATTCCGTGTTATCGGAAACTGCCAGAGGCTGATAAGCGTCCTCGCGCGTCATTGGCGGGCGCTAACACAAAAGCGCTCTCAATAGTTAGTTTCTGGCCAATGGACTTCAAGCTAGGCATTTCCAAGCACCTGCATAGGCTCGAAATGCTACCATGGACGGACTTCCTTAACAGTGTGCAGATCTCATCCGCAGGTCGGCAAAAGATTATGAAAACGACTGAGAACAAACAATGAAACCCCAACGATAAAGGATAACTAATGGAAGTAATGAGTTTTGAGGGCTGAGATGGACGACGAGGTGAACATAGGTAGTAGAGCTCATGCGGGAGAAAACGGTCGTGAACAAGATTACAGAACATGCAGACAGAGCGGTAATACAGTGTATTGTGGTCATCGGACATGGGGAGTAGAAAAAACAAATTGTCCTAGAGGGACATATGAGCCCTAAATACAGTCACTGAGAAAAATCAAGGCACCTTTAAGCATCAAGATTCGCATAGAGAGAGAGAGAGAAAACAGAGATATAAACAGTACACCTGAACTGAGATGGTAGGCACCAGTGGTTGAATGCGTGTTTGGAAACCGCGAGAGAGCCCGCACCTACGCAGCCTTAGACCAGTAGGTTGTGGATGGCAAGCCAGACGCCCAAACCACCCAGTAAGCGGGGCCCATTTATGCAGGTCAACCAAATCCCGCTAGTGTCATTTTTACTTCTAACTACGATCATTCGTTTTGATGGTGGGTGTAACGTGTAGGAGATCCTAGCACAGGGTGGGTTTGTGCTAGAGCAAAGCTAGTGAAGCATGACAAACGAGGCGGAGTATCATCAGCATAAATACACATTAGTTGAGAGTGAGAAACAAACCTAAAGTATTGTGCCGCAATACAAAATGATAAAATATTATCATAACAGCTGAAAAAAATAAAAAGGAATTAAATGCTAAATATAATATTACGCATGGAGTATGGGATCGTAGATGGGGGAGGAAGCTAAAGGGGTGGGCAGAAATACAGAAACCCACAACATAAACGCCATTGAAGCCGGCTCCTTGCCATGTCAACAAGTGCATCCAACTAGACGTGTTCATCGTCCTTCGGACCCCAGTCCAACAGTCGGGTGACAAAAGCGGACGCTAACTTCGTAGTGGGGAATTTCATTACTCTTGACCAAGTAATCGCTTGGTCTCCCCACCTCTTCTTCCATCCAGACCCCCGGCGCACAAACAACGCAGGACGCGGGAGTCGGTGTGTTAGCATGAGCAACACGTTGTCTAGCTATCAGAGCCTGGTGCGTGATATAATGTTGCTGGGCGGTTCAAGCCCTCCTCGTGCACCAAATACACGACGACTAACACGCTCATCGATCATACGGTTTTCCCACCAGATATAAGCTAAGCTGCGAAGGCAGCGATAGTCCAACGTAGCTAGCTAGCCTTCTTATGTCTGTAGATTTGATGGGCCAGGTTTCGCAAGCGTACAGCAGAGTTGAACGGACGGCTGTATTGCGAACTCTTCCCTTTAGCGCGAGAGTGATATCGCGCCGCAGCCACAGGTTGCGAATATTAGCAAAAGCGCCTCGAGCTTTAGCTATATGGTTGATGGTCTCATCTTCGATACCACGGGTGCTAATATACCTACGGAGATATTTGACTTACACGGCGACTTCTAGCTGATCACCACCAAGGGTCAGTGTAGGGGTGGGTCACTACTAATCTCGGAGACGGATTTCGTATTGTGACGGTACAAAGCACAGCCCGAAACGATTGGTAGCCAGAGCTAATTTATCCAGTGCAGCTTGGAACCTTTGGGAGCTGTCACAGATTAAGGCAATGTCGTCGGCGTACTCCAAGTTCAGAAGTCGGTCACCTTGGGGCAGCTCCACACCTTGCAGTTCGTGTCCAGTGAACGCCGTTACCATGACTTCGTCGATGGCGAAGTTAAAGAGGGGAAAAGCGAGAGCGGGCAATCTTGTCTCACATCGCTGGAGAGATTGAAGGGCGGTGAGTTCGCCATAAAGCTGCACTTTGCCCGAACTATGCATGTACAGCGCTCTCATCATACTAACATATTTCTCGGGTACACCATTCCTGAGTAAACAATCCAAAGGGTACATCGATGTAAAAGAACACGACTACGCCGGGTCGCCAATAAATATGGCGGTGCTTCAACAACTGAGGTAATGTGAAGATGTGGTCGATGCAGCCACGATTTCAACGAAACCCGGCTTGCTCCTCGCACATCTGGCTTTCACGAGTGCCAGTCAGTCTATGAAGGATGACGGAAGCAAGTAAGAGAGGCACTTGAGACCGGACAGATTCCTCTATGACTGCCGCATCCCGATCAGGAGCCTCCCTTGAAAACTGGAACAATTACGGAGCGCCCCCAGTCTGTCAGGACAGTCTCTAGCTCCCATAGATTCTCTTTTAAGTTATACAAATCGTCCAAAAGAGCAGGTCCTCGAATTTGAAGAGGGGTGGATGGAGTACATCTGCTCCAGCGGCCTGGTTCAATTACTGCGCGTGAGGGCGGATCCAAAGGGACAACCCAGGGAGAAGAAAGATCATTGGCCGATAGACAAACTAGCAACTTCGACTGATCAAACCGCTTTTTAAAGTGTTCGACACAAAGCGCCAAGCGTTTTGACAAGCTGTGGACCGGGTGCCCACTCTCGACATGCATGATCTAGCAAACATCAGGTCTCTTGCTGTTTGCTTCCAGATGGCTACCAAGGGCAGCGGGTGTATCCATCTCAAATGTACGATGAGACCAGCCTTCGCGGTTTCACTCCATGCTAGCACGCAGTTTCACCCTGAGATTTTTATGAGTCTCATTGTGTTCGGTTCTAGTTGGAACTCGTTGGCGAACATCGATGAGTACTAGGTACTGCGTGAAGACCCAACCATCAACTTGGAAATTTGATTTGACACATGAAGACACGTCTGATGCTAGTAGCGTCCGGCGAATATGCGACCAGTGATCTTCAACTGTGTCCAATGAGCGTTTACTCAGATCGGATGCCGGTGTACACCTGACCTCGTCCGTTGGCAAGTATTTATGCACTCACATCGCCGTTGCGGACGTCCGCCGAAACGCATCCACTGTTCGGCACATACAAATGCGTTGTCAAAGTCCAACTACTCCAAATCCAACGGCAGTTTGGGACACACCATGGGTATGTTACTCTGCGGGTGCTGTGTCGGAAGTTAGCGCTCGCAAGAAAGAGACGAGTATCTTCAGACAGGTGTAGCAACCGTTCACTGCTGTCAGTACAGGAACCTACATCGCGTTGGCCGCCCAGATGGTGTTCATTAGTGGACAATTTTCCGATGTTGGCATTCAGATCACCAGTAAGCACCATAGGCGTACAAAAGGCAGCGGGATCTAGGCAACAGCGCAAAGGCGCGAAAGCGTCGGCAGTTCGAAGAGGAGCTTGCAACCTTAGCGATGACGGCCCCTAAGAAGAGTTTTGCTTACGTGAAGCAGCGCCTGAGGCCCGCAAGTGACGTAGCTGTGCTAGAGGGCACTGACGGACCGCCTCTGACCTCAAGCACTGAACGTGCGACCGCATTGGCGGAGCAGTTAGATTCCGTATATACAAGTGGGCATGTGCCTATACCGAGCTCGACGTGTGCAGCCCATACTGAACTCGAGGGCCTTGATTGTGGTGCAGAAGATGTCCGCAGTCTACTCGCCAGTCTTGATGGCACAAAACCTGCAGGACCCGATGGACTTTATCCGCTAATTTTGAAGTCCTTATCGTCCATCATCTAACTTGCCGTGACGGATCTGTTCAACAGATAGCTGTCCGAGGGTGCATTGCCGAATGAATGGAAATGCTCGGTAGTGAAGTAGATTCCAAAAGGTGGTGACCCACGCAACGTGGACAATTACCGGCCGATTTGTCTCATCTCTGTTTTGGCGAAGATGCTCGAGAAGACTGTGAAAAAAGGTTTTCTCTAGTTGCTGGAGTCGAAATATCTCCTAACGCCGGCACAGCGCGGCTTCTTGAAGTGCCGCTCGTGCATCGCCAACCTGCTGTTGACGAGGCAAGAATGGTTGCAAGTGTTGGATCGGGGGAAGTCAGTGGATGTTATCTACATTGATTTCAGTAAAGCTTCGATAAAGTAAACCATGTGGTCCTCCTCCTCAAGCTGAGGATGCGCGATGTTGGTGGTGCACTGCACCAGTGGACCAGTGACTTCCTTATTGGGAGAAGATGGCGGGTTCAGGTGGATGACCACCTAATGGAATGGTACCCGTCCACTAGCGGCGTACTCCAACTCACACTACTGGGGCCCATTTTACTCCTGATCCACATGAACGAAGTACCTCAACTTCTTCGGTCGCCCTGCGCATTATTTGTGGATGACCTGAAGATTTGGAGGATTATTGATTCTCCCGGCGACTGTGACGCAGTTCAGTAGCATCTCGAGCGACAATCCCGGTGGTCAGCAGAAGTTGACCTACCGGTCAACCAGGCTGTAATCTGTAGTCGGTCAACAACACGAACAGACTGTACGCAATCGGACGACGCCTGCTTTGGGCACTTAGACGCAGCTTCCGCACTTGGTCTGAAGAGATTGCCACCCATCTGTTCTCTTCTATAATAAGACCGGTGCTTGAGTACGGCTCACCCGCCTATTGTCCGAGCACAATAGGTGAGGTACAGAGACCGGGATGGGTACAGCATGTAGTTACCCGGCTCATCTCCAGTTTACGGGGTGTCGTACGAGGA